TTTATGAATTGGGTTGTTTGTTTCTTTAATATTGAGCTATATGAACTGTTTATATATTTTGGAGATTAATCCTTTCTCTGTTGATTCATTTGCAAATATTTTCTCCCATTCTGAGGGTTGTCTTTTCGTCTTGTGTATGGTTTCCTTTGCTGTGCAAAAGCTTTGAAGTTTCATTAGGTCGCATTTGTTTATTTCAGTTTTAATTTCCATTACTCTAGGAAATGGATCAAAAAATATCTTGCTGTGATTTATGTCAAAGAGTGTTCTTCCTAAGTTTTCCTCTAAGAGTTTTATAGTGTCCGGTCATACATTTAGGTCTCAAATCCATTTTGAGTTTATTTTTGTGTATGGTGTTAGGGAGTGTTCTAATTTCATTCTTTTACATGGAGCTGTCTAGTTTTCCCAGCACCACTTATTGAAGAGACTGTCTTTTCTCCATTGTATATCCTTGCTTCCTTTGTCATAGATTAGTTGATCATAGATGCGTGGGTTGATCTCTGGGCTTTCTAACTTGTTCCATTGATCTATGTTTCTGTTTTTGTGCCAGTACCATACTGTCTTGATTACTGTAGCTTTGTAGTATAGTCTGAAGTCAGGGAGTCTGGTTCCTCCAGCTCCATTTTTCTCCCTCAAGACTGCTTTAGCTATTTGGGGTCTTTTGTGTCTCCATACGAATGTTAAGATTTTTTGTTCTAGTTCCGTAAAAAATGCCATGGGTAATTTGATAGGGATTGCATTGAATCTGTAGATTGCTTTGGGTAGTATAGTCATTTTCACAATATTGATTCTTCCAATCCAAGAACATGGTATATCTCTACATCTGTTGGTATCATCTTTAATTTCTTTCATCAGTGTCTTATAGTTTTCTGAATCCCGGTCTTTTGTCTCCCTAGGTAGGTTTATTCCTAGGTATTCTATTCATTTTGTTGCAATGGTAAATGGGAGTATTTCCTTAATTTCTCTTTCAGACTTTTTCATCATTAGCGTAGAGGAATGCAAGAGATTTCTGTGCATTAATTTTGTGTCCTGCAACTTTACCAAATTCATTGATTAGCTCTAGTAGTTTTCTCATGGCATCTTTAGGATTCCCTATGTATAATGTCATGTCATCTGCAAACAGTGACAGTTTTACTTCTTTTCCAAATTGTATGCCTTTTATTTCTTTTTCCTCTCTGATTGCCTAGGCTAGGACTTCCAAAACTATGTTGAATAATAGTGGTGAGAGTGGACATCCTTGTCTCATTCCTGATCTCAGAGGAAATGCTTTCAGTTTTTCACCATTGAGAATGAAGTTTGCTGTGGGTTTGTCGTATATGGTCTTTATTATGTTGAGGTAGGTTCCCTATATGCCCACTTTCTGAAGAGTTTTTATCATAAATGGGTGTTGAATTTTGTCAAAAGCTTTTTCTGCATCTATTGAGATGATAGTATGGTTTTTATTCTTCAATTTGTTAATATGGTGTATCACATTGATTGATTTGCATATATGGAAGAATCTTTGCATCCCTGGGATAAATCCCACTTGATCATGGTGTATGATCCTTTTAATGTGTTATTGGATTCTGTTTGCTAGTATTTTGTTGAGGATTGTTGCATTCTATATTCATCAGTGATATTGGTCTGTAATTTTCTTTTTTTGTAGTATCTTTGTCTGGTTTTGGTATCATGGTGACAGTGGCCTCATAGAATGACTTTGGGAGTATTCCTTCCTCTGCAATTTTTGGAAGAGTTTGAGAAGGCCAGGTGTTAGCTCTTCTCTTAATGTTTGATAGAATTCACCTTTGAAGCCATCTGGTCCTGGACTTTTGTTTGTTGGAAGATTTTTCATCAGTTTCAATTTCATTACTTGTGATTGGTCTATTCATATTTTCTATTTCTTCCTGGCTCAGTCTTGGAAGGTTATTCCTTTCTAAGAATTTGTCCATTTCTTCCAGATTGTCCATTTTGTTGGCACAGTTGCTTGTAGTAGTCTCTTAGGATGCTTTGTATTTCTGCGGTGTCTGTTGTAACTTCTTTTTCATTTCTAATTTTGTTGAATTGAGTCCTCTCCCTCTTTTTCTTGATGAGTCTGGCTAACGGTTTATCAATTTTGTTTTGTTTATCTTCTCATAGAACCAGGTTTTAGTTTATTGATCATTGCTATTGTTTGTTTCTATTTCATTTATTTCTGCTCTGCTTTATGATCTTTATGATTTCTTTTCTTCTGCTAACTTTGGGTTTTATTGTTCTTCTTTCTCTAGTTCCTTTAGGTGTAAGGTTAGATTGTTTAAGATTTTTCTTGTTTCTTTAGGTAGGCTTGTATAGCTACAAGCTTCCCTCTTAGAATTGCTTTTGCTGCATCCCATAGGTTTTGGATCATCATGTTTTTATTGTCATTTGTCTCTAGGTATTTTTTAATTTCCTCTTTGATTTCTTCAGTGATCAGTTGGTTATTTAGTAATGTATTGTTTAACCTCGATGTATTTGTGTTTTTTACATTTTTTTCCCTGTAATTCATTTCTAATCTCATAGCGTTGTGGTCAGAAAAGATGCTTGATATGATTTCAATTTCCTCAAATTTACTGAGGCTAGATTTGTGACCCAAGATGTGATCTATCCTGGAGAATGTTCTGTGTGCACTTGAGAAGAAACTGTAATCTGCTGGTTTTGGATGGAATGTCCTATAAATATCAATTAAATCTATATGGTCTATTGTGTCATTTAAAGCTTCTGTTTCCTTATTTATTTTTATTTTGGATGATCTGTCCATTGGTGTAAGTGAGGTGTTAAAGTCCCCCACTATTCTTGTGTTACTGTCGATTCCCTCTTTTATAGCTGTTAGCAGTTTCCTTATGTATTGAGGTGCTCCTATGTTGGGTGCATATATATTTATAATTGTTATATCTTCTTCTTGGATTGATCCCTTGATCATTATGTAGTGTCCTTCCTTGTCTCTTGTAACATTCTTTATTTTAAAGTGTATTATATCTGTTATGAGTATTGCTACTCCAGCTTTCTTTTGATTTCCATTTGCATGGAATAAAGCATCCTCTCACTTTCAGTCTGTATGTGTCCCTAGGTCTGAAGTGGGTCTCTTGTAGACAGCATATATATATGGGTCTTGTTTTTCTATCCATTCAGCAAGCCTGTGTCTTTTGTTTGGAGCATTTAATCCATTCACATTTAAGGTAATTATCGATATGTATGCTCCTATGACCATTTTCTTCATTGTTTTGGGTTTGTTTTTGTAGGTCCTTTTTTTCTCTTGTGTTTCCCACTTAGAGAAGTTCCTTTAGCATTTGTTGTAGAGCTGGTTTGGTGGTGCTGAATTCTCTTCGCTTTTGCTTGTCTGTAAAGCTTTTGTTTTCTCCATCAAATCTGAATGAGATACTTGCCAGATAAAGTAATCTTGGTTGTAGGTTCTTCCCTTTCATCACTTTAAGTATTTCATGCCACTCCCTTCTGGCTTGTAGAGTTTCTGCTGAGAAATCAGCTGTTAACCTTATGGGAGTTCCCTTGTATGTTATTTGTCATTTTTCCCTTGCTGCTTTCAATAATTTTTCTTTGTCTTTAATTTTTGCCAATTTGATTACTATGTGTCTCGGCATGTTTCTCCTTGGATTTATCCTGTATGGGACTCGCTGCGCTTCCTGGTCTTGGGTGGCTATTTCCTTTCCCATGTTGGGGAAGTTTTTGACTATAATCTCTTCAAATATTTTCTCGGGTCCTTTCTCTCTCTCTTCTCCTTCTGGGACCCCTATAATGCAAATGTTGTTGTGTTTAATGTTGTCCTGGAGGTCTGTTAGGCTGTCTCATTTCTTTTCATTCTTTTTTCTTTATTCTGTTCCGCAGCAGTGAATTCCACTGTGTCTTCCAGGTGACTTATCCATTCTTCTGCCTCAGTTATTCTGCTTTGATTCCTTCTAGTGTAGTTTTCATTTCAGTTATTGTATTGTTCATCTCTGTTTGTTTGTTCTTTAATTCTTCTAGGTCTTTGTTAAACATTTCTTGCATCTTCTAGATCTTTGCCTCCATTCTTTTTCCGAGGTCCTGGATCATCTTCACTATCATTATTCTGACTTCTTTTTCTGGAAGGTTGCCTGTCTCTACTTCATTTAGTTGTTTTTCTAGGGTTTTATCTTGTTCCTTCATCTGGTACATAGCCCTCTGCCTTTTCATCTTGCCTATCTTTCTGTGAATGTGGTTTTTGTTCCACAGGCTGCAGGATTATAGTTCTTCTTGCTTCTGCTGTCTGCCCTCTGGTGGATGAGGCTATCTAATAGGCTTGTGTAAGTTTCCTGACCCACATTATACTCTTTGTGCTATTTTATCTTGTTAAGAAACAACTGTTTCTAGATTATCTTTTCATTCAGTAGTTTAGATTGAGACACCAGATCAAGATATGATTTACTCAATCCAACAAAGTTTATATCTATACTTTCCATAAGTACACAAATACCCATTTGTTTCCCTAAGACAGAATGTGATCATCTCCATCACTCACAAGAGCCATAATCCCAAGTTCATTTCCAAAATGGACACATATATTACAGCTTTTGAGCCACTGGGCCAGCTCTACATCATACCCTTTGACAAAATATATTTTGTAGCTCATTTCTCATAAATATAATTTCACTATACAGAACAGACATTGAGTTAATCTACTCTTTTTCATGGCAAGGAGTTCAACTCTATTTTCACTGGCTTACTGCTGACTAAATTAAGCCCCTATTTCTAAAAAAAATACACAGTGAGCCGAAAATGAACAGCTACTTCAGTATTGCTGGCTGCCAATCACATCCTTAAAAGGGAACTAATACAATCCAGTCTCAATCTCAAAAGACCTAATAGGACTGAAGGAAAAATAACATGTTAAGTTAGTATTAAGCACCATTCATTTCTTACAAGAGAGTAAAGTTCTGTAAACTCAAAATCTAAGAATGCTGAAGTATCAGTTAAAAATGGCCACAACCAAGTCCTAAACATCAGTTCCTCAATGAGAAGTTCTTCTGAACACTTACCCAAGTCTTCCTAGCATCTCAAGCTCAGGAACTTGTGGCCCACAAGTCTCTATTTGCAGTGGTTGGTATTCATATAGAGCTTCTTCAAGCTTTTGAATGGGTGGTAATGTAATATGTTGACCCTGTTAGAAAAATGAAGGAAAATAATACTTTTTAATATTACTTTCATATTAATACTTATTTGCAGTCATTTTAAAGATGAGCTAAATCCTCACATTAAAAATATTACCCATTATTCATTACATTACTGAAACCTGTATTATATAATTAACACATAGTCAGTGACACATGATTTAAAGGAAGAAAACTAAATCCATCATTAAATTAAAATTTAGCCTTAAAGAATATAGCTGTTAAATGTCAATGGTAGAATTCAGGAAACATATAAGCATAGTCTATTCTCACATTTTCCTATTTTTATTATACAACTTTGACAGTTTTGGTAACCTGTGTTTTGTTGAAACCTTTAGTTAAGGAAGGACACTAATGAAATTATTCTCTGCAAAGTTTTGCCACATAAATATCTATTCTCTTAAGTCTTTACAATGGAATTTTTTTTTTTTTTTTTTTTTTTGCAGTATGCGGGCCTCTCACTGTTGTGGCCTCTCCTGTTGCAGAGCACAGGCTCCAGATGCACAGGCTCAGCTGCCACGGCTCATGGGCCCTGCCGCTCCGCGGCATGTGGGATCTTCCCGGACCAGGGCACGAACCCGTGTCCCCTGCATCGGCAGGCGGACTCTCAACCACTGTGCCACCAGGGAAGCCCTTTACAATGGAATTAAACTTACTTAACAAATATGTGTATCTGATGTCTACTTACACACACACACACAAAATGAGGAATATTATGCTAAAAATTAAGTTGAATGGAATATCCATGTATTTTTCTGAAAAGAACTACTGGATAAATAAAATAAAAAGATCATACTTGATGAAAAATATACAAAATAAAATACCACTCAGCCACATAGCACCATTACACTGAGATTTACATATTTACTGTAATCTGAGCACATAATTCTAATTTTTAAAAATCCGTAGTTTTTTATATAGTCCATGTTTTCTGATTCTAATTCTGTTATTTTTCTTGGTATAGGTCTCACCAGCTTCTCTATGTCCTAACTTTTTAATAAAAACTAGTTCTTACAGTTATTAATTCCAATGTTTTCTGGTTTATAATTTATTCCTCTTGTTACCTCCCTTAGTTTCCATTACTTAAATTACTAAGTTGGATACATAAAACATTTGTTCTCTTTTATTTAAAGAAAAAAAAAAGGTAAAAACCATGAATTAAAAGTGATACAGTGCAACTGAGGCAGTGAGGAACGACCACTGAAGATATTTGCATATGACTCATGGTTCTTCTCTTCAATAAGTTTAATACCATGTAGCATTATCCTAGCTAGTTTACCATCATATTAATAGCTTCTCTGACACTGTGACCTCAAAACTCCTTCAGCAAACTCGGGCAAAGGACTTGAACAGACATTTCTCCAGAGATGTACAAATGGCCAACAAGCACCGAAAAAGATGTTTAACATCACTAGTCATTAGGGAAATGCAAATCAAAACCATGAGGATATAAAATCGCCCCTCAGTATCCCTGAAGGGTCTGGTTCCAAGTTGCCCCGGGAATACCAAAATAATGGATGCAGAAGTCCTTTATACAAAATGGCATACTAGCACAGTCAGACCTCCCTATCCCCAGATTCCTCATGCCTGGGTTCTGCAGCCATGAATTCAACCAAACCCAGACTGAATTTCATGGCTGCTTGAAGCCATGGATGTGGAACCTACAAATACAGAGGGCCCAACTGTAGCACTTAACACCCACAGCTATTTAGGATGGCTATTATCCAAAACAAAAAACCACATAAAATAACAAGTGTTGGCAAGGATGTGGAGAAATTGGAACTCATGTCCATTGCTGATGGGAATGTAAAATGGTGCAGCTACTATGGAAAACAGACAGCAATTCCTCACAAGATTAAAAGATTAAATATAAAATTACCATATAAGCCAACAACTCCACTTCTGGGTAAACACCCAAGAGTAGTGAAAGGAGGAACTTGAGCAGATATTTGTACACCCCTACTCATAGCAGCATTACTCACAATAGCCAAAAGGTAAAAGTAAACTTGTGTCCATCGATGGATAGTGAATAGGGTATTCACACAATGGACTATTATTCAGTCTTAAAAAAGGAAAGAAATCTGATACATGCTAAAACATGGATGAATCTTGGAGACATTATGCTAAGTGAATGAAATAAGCCAGTCACAAAAGGATAAATATTGTATGATTCCAATTATATGAGGTTCTTAGAGTAGTCAAATTCATAGAGACAGAAAGCAGAATGATGATTGCCAGAGGGTGTGGGGAGGCAGGGGATGAGGCATTACTATTTAAATGAGTACAGAGTTTTAATTGGAGAAGATAAAAAAAATCCTGGAGATGGATGGTGGTGATGGATGTACACTGTGAACATACTTCAAAATAGTTAAAATGGGGCTTCCCTGGTGGCGCAGTGGTTGGGAATCCGCCTGCCAATGCAGGGGATGCAGGTTCGAGCCCTGGCCTGGGAGGATCCCACATGCCGTGGAGCAACTAAACCTGTGCGCCGCAACTACTGAGCCTGCTCTCTGGAGCCCACGAGCCACAACTACTGAGCCCTCATGCCACAACTACTGAAGCCCATGCACCTGGAGCCCGTGCTCCGCAGCGGGAGAGGCCACCGCAATGAGAGGCCTGCGCACCGCAACGAGGAGTGGCCCCCGCTCGCCACAACTGGAGAAAGCCCGCACGCAACGAAGACCCAACATAGCCAAAAATAAATAAATAAATAAAATAGTTAAAATGGTAACGTTTATGTAATATATATTTTACCACAATTTTTTAAAATGGGTTTCAGGACTTCCCTGGTGGCACAGTGGTTAGGAATCTCCCTGCCAGTGCAGGGGACACGGGTTCGAGCCCTGGTCTGGGAAGATCCCACATGCCGCAGAACAACTAAGCCCGTGCACCACAACTACTGAACCTGTACTCTAGAGCCTGCGAACCACAACTACTGAGCCCACACGCCACAACTAGATGAAGCCCACCCGCCTAGAGCCCGTGCTCCGCAACAAGAGAAGCCTCCACAATGAGAAGCCCGCGCACTTCAACAAAGAGTAGCCCCCACTTGCCGCAACTAGTGAAGGCCCATGTGCAGCAACGAAGACCCAACGCAGCCAAAAATAAAGTAAATAAAATTTTTTTTAAATAATAAAAATTCTTGGTGAAAATGAAAAATGTGCCTTAAAAAAAAATTAAAAATAAAAATGGTTTTAGATATTCTGATTTGCTCATTTACCTGGCTGAAATAATACCCATCAAAAACGAGATAAAAGTGAGATATATGGAAAATTCCATTAACATTATTTTAACCCTTAACCTCCATATGTTTCAGAGCTGTTCTAAATAAACTTGAAACTGTCAAGCTAAATCTTGTACTACCTCTCAGTAATCCAATTTCTGAACAATGAATCTGAATACAGAGTATTACACAGGTTAAGAAGGGGCCTGCCTAAGTGGGACATTCTGAGTGGCATATTGACATCCCTGTTTCAAAGTGTCTTCTTCATAAGTTACTAAGTACTATATTCTCCTGTCACATTATACAAAAAGTCCAGTATTACTGTCACATTTTTAGGTTAAAAAAAAAAGAAGAAAAAGGAAACTGTAAGAATTTTAAAAGGACACCTATTATATTATAGTTATCCCATAACACAGTAATGCAGATTACTTTGATTACTCCATTTTCACATTACAAATTAGAAAGCAAGACCCAGGAAAGATGATACAAAATGATTAATTCCAAGAGCTGGAATATTTTCCAAGGAAGATAATATTCAAAAAAAAGACAGGCTCTCTTAAGTCATTAACGTGGGAATGAACACATTAAAAGTAATCATTCCCTAAATAGCAACAATGATGCCCAAGTTAAAAGTTATGATATCGGGCTCCCCTGGTGGCGCAGTGGTTGAGAGTCCGCCTGCCGATGCAGGGGACACGGGTTCGTGCCCCTGCCCAGGAAGATCCCACATGCCGCTGAAAGGCTAGGCCCATGAGCCATGGCCTTTGAGCCTGCACGTCCAGAGCCTGAGCTCCGCAACGGGAGAGGCCACAACAGTGAGAGGCCCACATACAGCAAAAAAAAAAAAGCAAGTTATGATGTCATATAATCCAAAGTATTGTCTGCAAGTTTGTGGGTACATAAAAGATCATACAATAATAATAGCTAACATTATTTACTCAGTGCCAGGCACTGGTCTAAAGGCTTTTAATGCATTATTTCTTTAGTATTCACAATAGTTTTATGAGATAAATACTATCATCCCTACTTTACAAATGAGGAACAGGGGCTTAGATATGTGACTTAGCAAGGTCACACTGTAGGTAATGGCGGATTGAGGATTAAAAGCCAAGGGTGTCAGATTCTAAAGCCTGTGTTCTTTTCCCCTAACCTCCTCATTTTATGGATAAAGAAACTAAGACCCCTAAAATATAAATATCTCCTAAGGTCACATAGTTAGAGTCTTATCTCCTAATTCCTGTCCAGTGTGGGCTCTACCATACCACACTGCCTATCAATATCCTATTTTTAGACAATATAATCACAGTTGCTCAATTTAAAAGTCTGATATTAATAAGCAAGTCCTAGATTTCTATACAAATTCTAATAATTTAGATATGGTCAAAATGCCATAGGTTCAAAAAGACAAATTTTTTTATTATAGCATTTAGAGAGAAATAAACATTACTCAGTGGTAATTCTATTTATCATGAGAATGAGAAAATAAAGTTCATACATGATACACAACCTAGTCTTTTAACATCCAATCTTTTCCCCCCAAAACTGGTGTGAGATAGATGCCAAGTTTCTCAAATCTAAAGCTGAGGAAGAACTTACAGTACAAATCACTGACATAATTAAGATTTAAAAAAAAAAAATCACCAAGAGACCAGCTATCTCAACAAGAAGTCCTATGAGGAAAATGTTAGGGGTTTTTAAGTGACTGGAGGCAAAACGGTGTTTAAAAGCTTCTGGATGCAAAATGAAAATGAAAGTGATATTTCTACA